TGTGGGGGGGGGGGGGGGGGGCGGTAGGAATGGAGACGGCTTCCGAACCCAATCGGCGAGTGTAATGACTTGCTGCTCGGCTTCCTGATACCGGAAGCCCAAGTACTGGGCTAGGCATCGGAGTACTTGGCCAAATACTCGGCATTGGCACCGATACTAGAATCGGTACATCCCTACAAATGAGTAAACTAAACATGAAACTGTAGTCCATCCCGGGAGGGGGAGGGGGGGTCTTTGGATGGGTGACTACTTATAACACACACAGGGACCATGGGGAACAGACGTAGCCCCCCTCCAGAAGGAAGGACAGTGTCAGAGATGATTGGAGGATCTCCAGCCGAGTGATATACAAATCAGATACATTGTTGCTCGGAGTTCGGGGACTCGGAGGGAGTTTTAGGATTTCTCTCCGGATTTTGGTGTCACTTTGAGATGAATCATTATACAGACTGCAGCCGGCCGATCCCCCATTCATTATCGGCAGCGAATGTATGGCTGAGGTGTTGGTTCAGTTTCCTTGGCGTGTCGGTTGGACTCGATCTGTAAACGTTGTCACCGCCCTGACACGTCAGTAATCTCTGATGTACGATGTTTCCTGTGTGTGGACTATGTGCATGCCCCGCCATCGTTCTCGGGGGACTCTGCATGCTTTCTGATGATTTTTGGCTGTTTCTCAGTAATTACAATAAAAGCCGTTTTACATCGAAGAACTCGTGTACTTTCTCTCCATGTCGCCTACAATGTCTTCTGTGCTCCGCCTACCTCACGGGGCCCCCTTCTGAGCAGGTTAGGTGGAGAGGATGGAATATTCATCCTGCGTGTTCTGTCAGCATTTCATCTCGTGTATAAATGGTTTGTTGGGTCTTTGAAGGGCCACATATGACATTCAGTTCATAGGAGGACCTTATCATACAGAGATCTGCCGCAGGGTGGCCAACAAGGAGATGGATGCCTGGGCATGCTCTGTACAGTCCGCCCAATTCTAAAGTGGCTGCAGTCCCTGAAAAAATTCAAATGCTGATAACTTTATTCATCCGGACACCATGAACAGAGCCCATGTCTGTGTCCTCTGATGTGTTTCACTCACAAGGTCGGGCCTAATGGGCTCTAGGATAAAGGCCAGCCTTACCGGAGGAGGAGGTCCCAGGAGGAGACTCTCTGTTCTTGTCCGGATGAATAAAGTTACCAGCGTTTACATTTTTTGGGAGTTCAGCCTGCGTTTTGCTTTTAGATTTGTGCAGACTGTGGAGCATAGGTCGAACCCCTCCTGGCTTTTAGCATCCGATTTTCCGTGTGGGTGACCCAAATTAGGGCCGTCCTCAGCATATCCTATACTTTGGCCAGTGCACATAAAGTTCTAGTGACCAATCAGGAGAAGTGAGCCCTGAGATTGCCCACCTCAGTGTATGACATCATGAGGAACTGAGCCCTGAGATGGTCCACCTCAGTGTATGATATCATGAGGAACTGAGCCCTGAGATGGTCCACCTCAGTGTATGATATCATGAGGAACTGAGCCCTGAGATGGTCCACCTCAGTGTATGACGTCATGAGGAACTGAGCCCTGAGATGGTCCACCTCAGTGTATGACATCATGAGGAACTGAGCCCTGAGATGGCCCACCTCAGTGTATGACGTCATGAGGAACCGAGCCCTGAGATGGTCCACCTCAGTGTATGACATCATGAGGAACCAAGCCCTGAGATGGCCCACCTCAGTGTATGACGTCATGAGGAACCGAGCCCTGAGATGGTCCTCCTCAGTGTATGACATCATGGAGAACTGAGCCCTGAGATAGCCCACCTCAGTGTATGACGTCATGAGGAACCGAGCCCTGAGATGGTCCTCCTCAGTGTATGACATCATGGAGAACTGAGCCCTGAGATAGCCCACCTCAGTGTATGACGTCATGAGGAACCGAGCCCTGAGATGGTCCTCCTCAGTGTATGACATCATGGAGAACTGAGCCCTGAGATAGCCCACCTCAGTGTATGACGTCATGAGGAACCGAGCCCTGAGATGGTCCTCCTCAGTGTATGACATCATGGAGAACTGAGCCCTGAGATAGCCCACCTCAGTGTATGACGTCATGAGGAACCGAGCCCTGAGATGGTCCTCCTCAGTGTATGACATCATGGAGAACTGAGCCCTGAGATAGCCCACCTCAGTGTATGACGTCATGAGGAACCGAGCCCTGAGATGGTCCTCCTCAGTGTATGACATCATGGAGAACTGAGCCCTGAGATAGCCCACCTCAGTGTATGACGTCATGAGGAACCGAGCCCTGAGATGGTCCTCCTCAGTGTATGACATCATGGAGAACTGAGCCCTGAGATAGCCCACCTCAGTGTATGACATCATGAGGAACTGAGCCCTGAGATAGCCCACCTCAGTGTATGACATCATGGAGATGGTCCACCTCCATGTATGACCTGAGGGAGACCTGAGCCCTGAGATGGCCCACCTCAGTGTATGACATCATGAGGAACTGAACACTAAGATGGTCAACCTCCATGTATGACATCATGGGAAGCCTAGAGGGAACTTGTAAAGTCTGAGCCGGCTGTATGCAGATTAGGCCAAATTGTGCTCTGGATGTCACTGGTACTGGTTCTGAATCCATTTTCAACCCCTGGTTGAGGCCTTGTGCACATAGCACAATTCTGGCCTTGGCAGCCCATTTCTCGGTAGCAGACCCGTGCCGTGTTACACGAGGCCCCGTGCAGGTTATACGCCAATAACTGATTTCACTTGTTCCTGTTTCCACCTAATTCTAGTATTGTGGTCGGCAGTGTGATGGGGCAGAGAGACCCCTCACCCCGGCTTTCCACCATACTGCCAGCTTAAAGAGAACCGGTCACGGTGACTGTTGCCTATCACAGTTGAAGCTTCCGTGACTCAGAACCGCAGAGGAATCTCTTCTGTAGAGGTTGCTATGACAGGTTCCCTTTAGCTGCATTTGTTTCTCGTGGATCTGTGTGCATGTTCTGCTTTGTATTGGCAGGGGGGCCCCTCGTCTCCTATAGATTGTACCTCGGGGGTGTGACTTGCTCCTCGCTATTAGTCCTGTGTGCATTCCTTTGTTAAAGGGCCAGCAGACCCAAAAGGTCGGCCGTTATATGAAAGAGCCGCTAATACCGTCTTCAAATATGTATCCAAAACCGTTTCCATATATCTTTGAATGGATGAGGCTTAAAACTGCAGCTCTGTTAAATCTGACCTCCGTCCTCCCCTTCAGTCTTCTATCTGACCTCCGTCCTCCCCTTCAGTCTTCTATCTGACCTCCGTCCTTCCCTTCAGTCTTCTATCTGACCTCCGTCCTTCCCTTTAGTCTTGTATCTGACCTCCGTCCTCCCCTTCAGTCTTCTGTCTGACCTCCGTCCTTCCCTTCAGTCTTCTATCTGACCTCCGTCCTCCCCTTCAGTCTTCTATCTGACCTCCGTCCTTCCCTTTACTCTTGTATCTGACCTCCGTCCTTCCCTTCAGTCTTCTATCTGACCTCCGTCCTTCCCTTTAGTCTTGTATCTGACCTCCGTCCTCCCCTTCAGTCTTCTGTCTGACCTCCGTCCTTCCCTTCAGTCTTCTGTCTGACCTCCGTCCTCCCCTTCAGTCTTCTGTCTGACCTCCGTCCTTCCCTTCAGTCTTCTATCTGACCTCCGTCCTTCCCTTCTATCTGACCTCTGTCCTTCCCTTCAGTCTTCTATCTGACCTCCGTCCTCCCCTTCAGCCTTGCACAGTTGTACCGGCTCCTCTTCCTCTGATGTCACTGCACACTGGGACCTTCTCACAATGTGCATTAGAAGCGGCAGCGAGTCAGATAGAGGACGTCCAGCATCGTCTAACCTTTTCCTCCCCGGCCTGACTGTCCCTGGCCCCGCCCCTTTAATTTATTGCATTTTAGTTCTGTCAATCATGGAGGCTCAGCAGCACATGTGGGCGGTACCTAGTGTGGTCTGCATGCAAATATAGGCTTGCTTAGGAACGCCCACTCCTCCAGACCATAAAGGTATGTTCCTATTTGCATAACTCCTCCCACTGCTTGCACCAGGCCTTTTGAGAGGAGTGCTGAGGCAATGCAGGCAGATGTCTGGTGGGAGGGGCCAGTGAGGTGCTGTACATATGGCTTCCTGATGACATCACAGCACCCCGCCGGCCCCTCCCCCCCAGCCACAATCTGCCTGCATTGCATGAGGAAGCACGGGGTACATATTTGTGACTGTGACGTGGAACTCTTTCATATAAACTGTTTATTTGGCTCTTCAGTTATTTTGTTACATTTTTATTGTTTTTTAATCCTCATCTTCTATCTTCACAGGTCACCAAAGGTGAAACGCTGACATAGACCCCTCCCCCTTGCCCCGCCCCCCACTGAAATATTTTATATACAGATATACGCTATGGACTTCTCACCCTCCAATCCGTGTCTGTCTGCGATCACCTCCTCCCCTCCCCCTCCTCTCTGTACATTGGCCGAACACTTCACAACGGTTGAGCGTAGATGTCACCTGATCATTCCTGGGCATGCGTCCTTTGATACGTCGCCGAGGGTCGCTTGCGGAAGAAGGACGCGCGGCCCGCTGTACGTACAAGACGCGTGAGAACACGAGACGTTCCGAGAACTGGTAACTGTGCCAACGAGACGCTTTCCACGTTTCTTTTCTTTTGTATCCGTGTCGCGTTATCTATAAATTGTGTTAAGAAATAAATGTTTACGTGACTTCCGTGTGGTGCGTCCTTCTGATTCGCGTGGAGTGACATTGCCGCCCATAGAACGCCGATCCGTCCACAGATCTGGAGGAACTCCTCTCCCCTCGTATTATCAAAACTGGAGCAGACGGAATCTGGAGCAGTTGCCCACGGCAACCAATCAGCTTCTGTCTTTCAAATCTTACCTGAGCAAACTGAACAGAGCTGATTGTGCCTAGGGCGCCAGTCCCCCCTGCCTAGGGCGCCCCCCTGTGCTTCCTGTGCCTAGGGCGCCCCCCTGTGCGCTTCCTGTGCCTAGGGTGCCCCCCTGTGCTGTGTGCTTCCTGTGCCTAGGGCGCCCCCCTGTACTGTGTGCTTCCTGTGCCTAGGGCATCCCCCTGTGCCTAGGGCGCCCCCCTGTACTGTGTGCTTCCTGTGCCTAGGGCATCCCCCTGTGCGCTTCCTGTGCCTAGGGCGCCCCCTGTGCTGTGTGCTTCCTGTGCCTAGGGTGCCCCCCTGTGCTGTGTGCTTCCTGTGCCTAGGGTGACCCCCCTGTGGGCTTCCTGTACCCTCATAGCTGTATATCTGCGGCACTGCTGTGAACTGCTAGTGGAATGAGATTGGGTGACATCACTGCTGTGCTTGCTGGAGAGGAAGTTGTACCCGAGGACCTCCCTGCTCCCGCTTCATCCATTCTGTGGATCTTTGCTTCCTCCTCCTCCAATCAGATGACTTGTCTTCAGGGCAGCAGCAAAGCCCTGATCCCATACCGCGATATCTGCCTCCACATACAGACACAGTGCAGGTAAGCTGCGGGGAAACAGCCTGTCTCTCTCTGAGCATTCGCTGTGGACACAGGAAGCTATTCCGGAACTGATGGGTATAACTGCCGCCTCTAGAGGGAGGAGTCAAGCAAAGAGCACAGCGCCATCTGGTGGCCATACCCGTCCCCCTCCACCCACCTGTAAAGCATGGCACCTCACCCCAAGGGGGGGGCGGGACTCTCCCCAACTCTGCTGATCAGGACCTCCAGACTGAGGCGCTTCCTATCATTGGGCCTCTGGCAGTGTCATAGCCGTCCTCCGGATACCCCGTGTCCCTCGCAGTGTCCTGCTGGAAATTCACCGTGATGGCGGTTCTGCTCATATTGGACCCCCCAAGCTCGGACAGTCACAGCAGCGGCCATCAC